AGGACGCTTTGATGATGTGATGGAAAATCAAAAACTGGTTGTGAGTTGACTCGAGTTACACATGATAAATAACTCACCTTCTAGAGAGGTAGCATCTCTGCTGACATGATCTGTGCATTGTTGTATCTTGTCGGACTCCTTTTTGGTGCCTTTCATAAACAACGACTCAGTTGAATACCACTACAGGACATCAGCTCTTAAAGGTGATCAGTGGCTCTTAAAGAGCCTTTGTGTTTCCGTCTCAGCAGGTCAGGATGAGGTTTGACCTATGAAGCCGTACAGGGCCCTGCCTCTTCAGAGCGTACACGCGTCCATGGCAGTGACGGACTTCCTCTTGGCGTGCTCGGTGTGGGAGATGGAATTAAGTCAAGTCAAAATTTATTTAAAGTGTAAAATCACAAGCTGCGTGGTCTCAGTACACTTTACAGAAAACAGAGACACATAAAAAATTGCAGAACTGGATAAAAAAGCTGAGAACACATAACAAGATACACACATTAAAAATCAATAAAATACACAATTATAAAACAACAAGAATCATTTAAAATTCAACTCATGAAAGCACTTTTTTTGACCATCACACACTCAACACATTCAGACAACATTCAGTATGTCACCATTATGCAGCAGCAGTCAGTTGAATCTTGAAAGAACTGTTAGTACAGATATAGAAACAATGTCTTTACTTTATAGTTTAATCCACCAGATAAAATGATTTTCAACATGTTTAATTTTCAATTGTTAAAACCCCACACTCAGTATGCATTTTGTGTTGCCGATTATTTATTATTATATTATATTTAAAGAGTAACTCAAACACTAAACAAAATCACATCTGCAATCTTAATAACCAAGATGGCGCCGCCTCGGGATTACGCTCCGTAGTGCTTTTTCTGTTTTTGTTAATTAACGCTGTTTTCTGCCGTCCCTCTCTGGTAACTTTTACCAGAGAAGAGCTCTTAAACGTTGGACTTTCAACTGCTCATACTATTCCACCGCTCTTTATTGACCCTGGAACCTTCCCGGAGTTACTAGTTGGAGGAGCGGCAGCTCTGTTTGGGATCCTTCGGAAACGGCGCAGGGGAAAACGTGCAGGCGCTTGTTAAACTGAGACAGCGGGGATTTCTCACTGCACTCCCTTCAGTCCACCAGGGAATGTCGCCCTCTGGCCAACAAAATGGACACACTGCTCCTCAACAGAACCAACTTGGACTTCTGCAGATCTGCTGCCCTCGTTTCACCGAATCCTGGCTCACGAGCGCATCCCGGACAGCGCATTTCATCTACCGGGATTTAATCGCACGGATCGCGAAAGGGAGCTCACAAGACAAACAAGGGGGGCGGACTCTGTTTCTATATAAACGAAGGTTGGTGCACAGATGTCACAGTGGTGAAGAAATCATGCAGCCCTCACCTAGAGACATTATTTATTAACTGTAAACCGTTTTATTCACCGCAGGAGTTTCCTCGTTTGTTCTGGTCGCTGTTTACATTCCACCTCAGGCCTGTGTTAGTGAGGCGTTACTACACCTGGCCGACCAGATAACTAACATGGAGAAAAAACATCCAGACTCATAGTTCTTGGGACTTTAACAAAGCAAACCTCAGTCATGAACTTCCAAAATACAGACAGCATATTAAGTGTCGCACCAGGGACACTAACACACTGGACCACTGCTACACAACATTAAAGGACGCCTATCGCTCTGTCCCCCGTGCAGCCTTGGGATTCTCTGATCACTGTCTGGTTCATCTTATCCCGACACACAGGCAAAACTGAAATCTGTGTGAGATGTGTGAAGTTCCCTCCTGCTTCAAACGCTCCATAGTCATCCCCGTCCCAAAAAAACCCTCCATCTCTGGACTGAATGACTACAGGCCTGTCGCCCTGACATCTGTAGTCATTGAAAGACTGTGTTGGCCCACCTGAAGGACATTACAGGCCCCTGCTGGACCTCCTGCAGTTTCCTACAGAGGTAACAGGTCAGTGGATGATGCTGTCAACTTGGGTCTGCATCACATCCTGCAACACCTCAACGCTCCAGGGACATATGCAAGGATCCTGTTTGTGGAGTTCAGCTCGGCGTTCAACACCATCATCCCGGACATCCTCAGCACCAAACTCACCAAACTCACTGCGCCAGCCTCCACCTGTCAGTGGATCACAGACTTCCTGACTGACAGGAGTCAGCAGGTGAGGCTGGGAAACATCACATCCAGCACCCGGACTATCAGCACTGGCCCCCCAGGGGTGTGTGCTTCCCCACTGCTCTTTTCCCTCTACACCAATGACTGCACCTCAGGAGACCCATCTGTCAAACTCCTGAAGTTCGCTGACGACACAACGGTCATCGGCCTCACCGGGACGGTGATGAGTCGGCCTACAGACGGGAGGTTGATCAGCTGGCTCTCTGGTGCGGTCAGAACAACCTGGAGCTTAACACGCTCAAAACTGTGGAGATGACCGTGGACTTCAGGAGGAGCCCCCCACTCTGCCCCCATCACCATACTCAACAGCCCTGTGTCTGCTGTGGAAATCTTCAGGTTTCTTGGATCCACTATTCCCAGGACCTGAAGTGGGAGCCCAACACTGACACTATCATCAAGAAGGCCTAGCAGAGTATGTACTTCCTGCATCAGCTCAGGAAGCGCAACCTGCCTAAGGAGCTGCTGATCCACTTCTACACAGCCATCATCCAGTCTGGCCTCTGCACCTCCTTCACTGTCTGGTTTGGATCGTCACCAAAAAGGACAGGAGCAGACTACAATGGACAGTCAGGACTGCAGAAAAAATAATCGGTGCCAACCTGCCCTCCATTCAGGACTTAAACATTTCCAGAGTCAGGAAATGGACAGGAGACATCACTGCAGATCCATCTCACCCCGGACACAACCTGTTCCAGCTCCTCCCCTCTGGTTGGCGCTACAGAGCACTGTACGCCAAACCAAGAAGCAGTTTCTTCCCACAAGCCATCAGCTGATTTCTGACTCACGGTGTCAGGAACAATTCCTGTGCAATAACCCAGTAACTGTGCCTCTAATCAGCCACCTGTTTACTGGTATCCACTTATTTTTTATTTATTCACCATTCTCTATTTCAGTGCTGTTCATACTATGTCATTGTATATACTTTATACCAATACACCTACCTCAGGTCATAAGGTCATAGGTCTTATTTATTTTTTCTAGTATCCTTTGCACTATGTTCCATCACACTGTGTACATGTATGTGTACCTGCATATCATATCCACCTTCAACATGTACATAATAATAATAATAGTTTACTCTTGCATCCTTTGCACTCTGATCACTGCACTATTTGTCAATACGTCTATATTGTTTTGTTCATAGTGTGTATGTTAGTGTTGTCTATACTGTAGTTTATGTCTGATTTTATTTGATTATTATTTTATTATTGTACTATGGTATTTTTGTACAAGTAAGCACATTGTGAGCAATATATAATCCTGAGTCGAATTCCTTGTATGTGTACACATACCTGGCAATAAAGCGGATTCTGATTCTGATTCTGATTCTGATCTGCATAAAACTTAACTTCTCTGGCGCCCATTATGAATCCCTTCACTGCTGCCTTTGACACATGGTTGGTTCAGCTCCATTTTCTCTCTGCACTACACACCCTTAAAACATATTTTATGCTATTTTTGATCCAGAAAGAAGTCGTGAGTCAAGTTTCATTGTTAATTGTTTAATGTGATAATTATATATTGGAAAATGCTTAAAATGCAAATGTTGCTTTAAAGCAACATCATACCATTGTGGAATCCCGCCATGGCATTTTTTGGTGTTGTGCATTAGGTTTATATTCTGATCAAAAGCATAAAACTTGACATAATTTTCTCTCATTCTATAGTAATTAATTCATTAATTATTTATACATTTGATAATGTTAGTTCTAATAACGCTGTGATACAAATGTTATTACACTGGATAATTTAAGGATTTAGTAGTGACGAAAACAGTGAGTTGCTGGATAATCCTGCAAGAAAAGTAAGAGTGATTGTGAGGATGAGTCTTAGAACGCAGATGAGGAAAAGAGTGAAGAAGAGCAGTTAGGATAAAAGTGCAGTGACAGGTATGAGTATAAAATAGGGAGGAAACCTATTTAATAATTGTTTTCACTTATTGATAATGTGATGTATTTTGTCAACTTCCTTCGTATTGAGCCGAAGACGGCTGCGAGGTTCCACATATCTGAAACGGCACCAGAAAACTGAAGATACACATTTAAATCTAACACAAATGATGAAATGATGGAGAGTAGCTCTGTCTTGATTTTCAGCAGTTTGGATTTAAAGATTTTTAATGTAAGTTTTGTTTTCTCTTTTGCATTCATTACTATAGGCGGTTCCACACTGATGCCTGAGGGTAACGTTCAAACAAAAAACCCTATGTAAAGTTTATTTTTACATTTTCAAGTTTAGAATGATTGTATTTTCATTGAGTATTTTAATAAATAGTATTCAAACTTTAAATAATAACTCTCTTTTCCATTCTTTACCATTATGATACAGTGTTGCTTTAAGGCAAGGACCCCAAATTATATTTATTTTGAAATTTATTTAAATTATGTTTACTTGGTCCATTTAATGACAAAAAAAAACAGTAATATTTTTTTAACCCACTGGCAAAATAATGCCTACCATATTTCTATGAGTAGACTATAAAACAAGAAATTGCCCGTGTATGGCAACAACAGTCAGGTGCTGGTTGATCATAGCAATGAAAAACAAAAAACAAGTCACCGCTGTTATAAATAATAAAGGTGATTCTGATAAAAACAACAAAAAAAACCTACAAACCAAACTGGAAAAAGTGCTGCTCAGTGTGGGCGGGGCCAAACTGTTGACTCTCCAGAGAGGGAGGGGCTTCAAGAAAGCTGAGTTTGGCACCGCCCAGCGGAACTCGCGCCTTCGGTCCTCTTTGACGTCCGCAGATAAGATGTAAAAACCGCGTGTCGACCCTCAAATTCATCAGTTTGTTCAACAGTAAAGCTGAAACATGAGCGGAAGAGGCAAAGGAGGAAAGGGACTCGGTAAAGGAGGCGCTAAGCGTCACCGGAAAGTGCTCCGTGATAACATCCAGGGAATCACCAAACCCGCCATCCGCCGTCTGGCTCGCCGCGGCGGAGTGAAGCGGATCTCCGGTCTGATCTACGAGGAGACCCGCGGGGTGCTCAAGGTCTTCCTGGAGAACGTCATCCGCGACGCCGTCACCTACACCGAGCACGCCAAGAGGAAGACCGTCACCGCCATGGACGTGGTGTACGCTCTGAAGAGGCAGGGCCGCACCCTGTACGGCTTCGGAGGCTAGACCCGGTCCAGACCCACTGAAACACAAAGGCCCTTTTAAGGGCCGCACACTTCATCTAAAGAGTTGACTTCTTAATTTATAAACTGCTACACTGTGAATCCAGAAAATTCCACAAACTGGGGATTCACAGTGCTAATGATTTAAGTAAATTCTAAACTACTATTGCAAAGGGTTGATGAAACTAAACTTACAAATAAGGCTATAAAAAAAGCAAAATGAGTTCCCACAACATACAAAGAAGAACCAACTACAATATCATTTACATACAGGCTAAAATGCCAAGTCTAACATACTAGAGAAGAACTGGGCTGAAGTATTTCAGTGTTAAAATCAAACTGTTTGCAGAGTCTGGTGACCTACATCTGTGCATGAGACAGCTGAGCAGGTGGGCAAACATTTGGCTCATACCATCATTACTGTAGCATTGCTGCAAATGGGAAGTATACATTTAATAATGATTAAGTATGCTGTTCTAGGACGACGTGTGCAATTTAAATTACATCAGTTTACAACCACTTATTAGAGTAGGGTGATTTTAACTATTTTTCACAATCCATACTAACATATTAACGCAGCTGCTGTCCTGGAGAGAAATGTCACAATTTGAGGTGATTGCATTATCAGAATCGGTCTTCCTGTCACCGTTAATCAAACGCATTTAAACACAAAACAATTCAATGGTAAATTATAAACATTTATTATTTGAGTTATCTAAAAGGTCACATTATGTAGGACTCATTACACAATATTAGCTTTGTTGCTCAGTAGGTTTCTACAGAATAGTACCCATTAGTTATTAATACCTACATAATATCTTTATTTTAAAGTCCCACATTGTAACCCACTTATATCCTAATATCACATATTGTTCCTTTGTACCTACATGAACGTATCAGTACTGAATTACAGCCCGACCCATGTGGATATGATCAATATTAAAATTACAGCCTACCAAACTCTTTCAGGCACACAGTGTGTAACTTCAGTACATTTACTCATTAAGCACTTTATTAAGAATTTTCTTGAATGGCACCTTTTTCTTCTGCCCACTACTTATCAGGGAGGAATATATATTATCACTACAATTATTTGAGATCTTTATTAATAGTTACTTAGGTATTAAAAGTTTTGTTATAATTTAAACTACCCAATAGTTTTTACAAGCAGAGCTGAAATGATTGGTGTTTGAAATGATTAGCTGTTTGATAGAAAATAATTTGGCAGCTATATTTAAGTTAAGCTAATAGGCCAAAGTTTTCATGGTTAAACTTCAGTATTTGCTGCTTTATTGATTTACCTTGTACTTTTTTGAGGTTTTGACTCTTGGTTGGACATGAAAAGCATTGTGAAATTGCCGCTTTGGGCTCTGGGTGGTATTTCTTACTATTTTCAGATTTTTTACAAACCAAACAACCAGGTTAACCCATAATGAAAATAATTGCTGTTTGCAGCCGATACAAAATATTTGAAAATGAGCTCCACCGTAACAACTACAACAGTAGAATCCTGCTTTTACACGAATACATGAGAAATAATAACAATAATATAGGAATATATAATAATATAACAGTCACAGGACATATTTCATAGTGTGATATTAGTACTTTTATTGAATTAAAGTATCTGAATACTTTCTCCACTGCTAAAATAAATAAACTTAAATCTGTGTTACTGTGTTTATTTTTTGACCTTCACATCTTTATTCCCTTCTCACAGATTTAATTATTTCTTGTGTGGCGCATGCGCAGTCTTGTTTAAATTTCAGCCAATCCTCTATGGGGAACAACACAGTTTAATTTGCATCAAGCGCATAGAAATGTGCCGCCTCATCGCTTCAGACTTATTCGTTGAGAACTATAACGAAGTTGAAGATGCCTGATCCAGTTAAGGCTCCGAAGAAGGGCTCAAAGAAAGCCGTCTCTAAGAGCGTCTCCAAGACCGGCAAGAAGAAGAGGAAGACCAGGAAGGAGAGCTACGCCATCTACGTGTACAAGGTCCTGAAGCAGGTCCACCCCGACACCGGCATCTCGTCCAAGGCCATGCTGATCATGAACTCGTTCGTGAGCGACATCTTTGAGCGCATCGCCGGCGAGTCCTCCCGTCTGGCTCACTACAACAAGCGCTCCACCATCACCTCCAGGGAGATCCAGACCGCCGTCCGCCTGCTGCTGCCCGGTGAGCTGGCCAAGCACGCCGTGTCTGAAGGCACCAAGGCCGTGACCAAGTACACCAGCTCCAAGTAAACCCGCTGCTACACCCAGCAACACAAAGGCCCTTTTCAGGGCCACCCACTGTTTACACGAAGAGCTTTATTCCTCTGAACTTGCACTGTTTCATGTCAAACCAGGGCAATGACTACATGATCCTGTAAACATGTCCTGTTCCCCTAAATTATATATATTTCAGTTTCTAAGGTAACTTTTAGGACAATATAACACTTAAGATGATCTACTGGCAGAAACCGAATACGGTCCGTAAGTATGTCTTCATTAGTGTATAATCACCTGAATATGTATAATCATATCTACACAGAGAGAACAGGTCCTCTTACACGGCAGCCACCATGTTTCTACACTAGCCCAGACTTAGCAAAGCAATCACTGGATCTAGAAAAGGGCCTTGTGTTTTTCAGCCACTGTAGTTCTATTTCGTATAGGCTTCGCCCTCTAAGAGCTGTCGCTATTGGGTTCATCCCCGCGCGCATGCGCAGTCCTGAAGATTTCTTTCGCGCCCATGTGCCGTGCACGGGCCTCTCTCAGGTCCGCAATTTAGGTATATAATACCGGCGAGACCAGAGATCTGCTCCCCTTTTTTCTTCAGCGCTGCATAGCAGTCACTTCGGAGAGCAGAGTAGCGTCTAAAGAGCAATTTTCCTGACTAAAGAGCTTTTCCTATGGCTACTCACCGCTCTACCGTTGAGGTCCGCCGCTCGGAAGGAGTCCGCCTCTGCCCGTCCTGCCACGCCGGCTACATCATGGGGTTTGATCTCCACGCCCGCTGCGAGACCTGCCTCGGTCCCCAGCACGCTGGCCTGGCTCTGACTCCCCGGGCCTCGTGCCCCTACTGCGCACAGCTGCCCGTGGAGGAGAAGCGACGGCGGGTCGACGCCTTCGCGGCCCTGCAGGAGGAGGAGGACGACGAAGCTAGCTGGGCTAAGCCAGTTAGCTTCACGGCGGACCTCGCCGGCGGGACTGCTGGCGATGCAGGGCTCGAGTCCTCTGACTTTGCTCCCTCCATTGCTGGCTCCCCGCCAGGCTCTCCCCTCTTCCCGCTGGAAGATCTGGAGTTTGACTTGGATGAGAAGGCGGCGTCGCTGGCTCCTGCTCCACTTCCGCCTTCCAGCTTGCCGTCCTGCGGGGCTCTCCTCCGGGATCTCCCCGACATAATAAAGACGGCTGCTGAGCGCAAGGGCGTGCCGATGCCTGCTGAGCCTCCTGCACCTGCTCCTAGCGCCATGCTCGGCGACATCTACCAGCCAGAGCAAGCCTCCAAACAGGTTCCTGTGTGGCCCCTTTTTCCACCGCTTCAGCCTTTTCTCTCCGAAGCGGGGGCCGAGCCTGGGAAGCTGAAGGCGCCGGTGGCGAGGTACGTCAACTTCACGAAGGTCGAGGGCCTCACTGACCGTGGTTTTCCCTCTGTCCCACCTCTGGAGCCCAGCCTGGCAGCCATCCTGCTGCCTAAAGCCACCTTTTTCGGCAGGAGGAAGCCGACTCCGCCCTCTGCCCGCGACCAGGTACGGCTCGAGTCACGGACCGCTCCCACCAGTGCGCCGCCCAGGTAACAGCCGCCATCAACAACATATCGCTGCTGGCCTCGTCCATGTCATCTGTCGCTGCTCAGCCCGACGCCCTTTCCCCCGAGCTCGCCAGCGAGTTTGGGAAAGCCGCGGCCGCCATTTTGACGCTCGCCACAGCGGCGGCGGTCGGCCAGTCCCGGATTATGGCGTGGATGACAGTGCTGCAACGCAACATGTGGCTGCACATGTCCGATCTGCCGGAGCAGATCAGGAAGGAGTTGCTGGACGGCCCCATCAGCCCCGATGGGCTGTTTGGGCCGCTCCTCCAGGATGCAATCACACACATGCAGCAAGCTTCGGACGAGGCGGACAAGGTGAAGCGGCACACAGCGTGGAGCAGAGCGCCACCTCAACACCCACGGCGCTCACAGGGCTCCCGGCGTGATCGCCGCGACTCCCGCCCCAGGCCGAGGCGCCCCGCGGCCACTGCTGCGCCTCCGCCGGCCCCAGCCGAGGCCCCCCGGGCTCCTCCGGCGGCCGCTGCTCCCTCTTCACAGCGCCGCCCTGCAGTCAAGAACAGGCGAGCGGCTTGCTCCTGGTCCAACCCCCCCGCCGAGCCTCCCCGCAAACAGCGGAGGTATTGACGGGACGCGGGGGACGTGTGTTTTCTTCCCGGAACAGCCGGACACAACGGCTCTTTTCAGAGCCAACCAAATGTCCATAAAGAGCATGTTCCTATCAGTCAGCCTGCCCCTCTCTCTCCTGAGCTTCCTGCAGCTGATGAAACGCACGTCTCCCACACACAAGCAAGCTCCGCTGCGCACGCACACGCTGCGTCAGTTGTTGAGCCGCTGTTGTCCCTCTCTCATATTATCATGAGTGAAAAACATTCACATCAGATAAACACAACAGCCCACCCGCACTCCCTGCCTCTCTGCGGCTCCCCACCTCTCACCCTTCAGTGTGTGTTAGTGGAGGTTTTTCACCGTGGCACGAGTCTGACACTGAGAATGAGCGGCCCGAGTGTTTCACACTATCGCCGCCGCAGCCCTTTCAACTCAGCCCTCCCATGGGCCGTGTCGAGCGGCTCTGCAGCTCACACGGCGGCGGAGAGGGCTCTTCTCTGGCTGTCAGAAATGTCCACAGAGGCCCCCCAGATTTTTGCTCGCCCGCTTTCAGAGCGTTGCTGCGCGTGGCAAAATCTGCCCATGAACGAGTGGATGGCGAGATTAATAAAGAAGGGTTACACTCTCCAATTCGCCAGCCCCCCTCCTCCTTTCAGCGGGGTGCTGGAGACCGTCATGTCATCGCAGTCAGAGACATCTGCTCTGATGGCAGAAATAACAGAGCTCCTGAGCAAAGGAGCGATTTCAAAAGTCCCGCGGGGCGAGGAGAACGAGGGCTTTTACTCCCGTTACTTCCTGGTGCCCAAGAAAACGGGCGGAATGAGGCCGATCCTGGATCTCTCCTCCTTCAACAAATGCATAATGAGGAGGCCGTTCCACATGCTCTCAGTCAGGCACGTATTGGAATGTGTACGTCCCGGGGATTGGTTCGCGTCCATCGACCTAAAGGACGCTTATTTCCATGTCCCCATCATCCCCAGACACAGGAAATTCCTGCGTTTCTCTTTCAGAGGAGCCCAGTTTCAATACAACCGCCTGCCTTTCGGCTATTCTCTGGCCCCGCGCACGTTCTCCAAATGTGTGGAGACAGCGCTGGAGCCGCTGCGCAGGTCGGGCGTCAGAGTGTTGTTTTACCTGGACGACTTGATTGTCATGGCATCGTCCAGGGAGAGCTGTGCGCTACACACGATGAAGCTCGTGAAACACCTGTCCCGCCTGGGTTTTGCCATAAACTGGCAGAAGAGCTCTCCTCTCCCCTCCCAGTCAATAATCTATCTGGGAGTGCATCTGGACTCAGCCCGCATGAGAGCCAAATTATCTCCAGCCAGGCTGGAAGCTCTCAGCTCTCTGCTTTCACGCATCGCTCCGCACAAAGTGGTAACGGCTTTGTCTGTGATGCGTCTACTGGGCATGATGTCGGCCAGTCACGTGGTGGTCCCTCTGGGTCTCCTCCACATGAGGAAAATACAGAGATGGTTCGGCCGTCTCCGCCTCGATCCCATAAAGCACAAAAGACGCCTGCTGTCCGTTCCCCCCTCAGTACAGTCAGACCTGACGTACTGGAAATCCCCTCACGTGCTTTCAGCGGGGTCCCCCCTCGGGAAAGTGACGTCACATGTCACAGTGTACACGGACGCGTCTCTCATTGGCTGGGGCGGGATGTGCCATTCTCACGTGGTGGGAGGGAAATGGCCACAGCCTCCATCTCTCCACATAAACTGCCTGGAGCTGTCCACAGTGCTGAAAGTGCTGAAACACTTTGCTCCACTCCTGAGAGACAAGCATGTGCTGGTGAGAACAGACAACATGACAGCCGCGGCTTACATAAACCGTCAGGGCGGCGTCCGCTCGGCTCGGCTACTAGAGATAGCCAGGAGCCTGCTGCTGTGGGCCCACGCGAACCTGCGCTCTATCAGAGCCCTCCACATTCCCGGTGTTCAGAACCGAGCCGCGGACCTCATGTCACGCGGCGGTCCGTCTCAGAACGAGTGGAGACTGAATTCCACTCTTACTCAGGAACTGTGGGACAGATTCGGGGAGTCAGAGATAGATCTGTTCGCCTCACGAGAAAACGCACAGTGCGCACTGTGGTTCTCACTGAACGCACGGGACGAGCCGCCACTGGGCGTGGACGCCTTCTCACACAGCCCGTGGCCCAGAACGCTCCTTTATGCTTTCCCCCCGGTTCCTCTGATTCCCCGCCTCCTGGCGCGCATTCAGGAGGAGCTCCTAACAGTGATTCTGGTGGCACCAGAACGCACGAGCGCATCATGGTTTCCAGTGATGATTCAGCTGCTGTCGGGGAAACCGTGGCAGCTGCCGTGGCGCAGAGACGCGCTCTCACAGCTGGACGGAGCCATCCTACACTTCCCAGTGATAGGTCAGCGTTTGTGGGCTTGGCCCCTGAACGGGAGCGCCTTGAAAGATTAGGATTGCCCCCTAATGTGGTGCGCACCATCCAAGGCGCTAGGGCTCCCTCCACTACTGCTTCTTATAGAGCAAAGTGGTCCGCTTTTCAGCACTGGTGTGTGGAAAGAGACACGGACCCCGTCTCGTGTCCCTTATCTCTTGTTCTGTCCTTCCTCCAGCTGCTGGTGGACAGAAATCTGGCTTTATCCACAGTCAAATCGTACGTGGCGGCCATCTCTTCCTGCCACGAGGGCTTTGGAGAGAGATCGGTTTTTGCGCATCCGCTGGTTAAGCGTTTTTTAAGAGGAGTGAGAAGGCAGCGGCCTGTCACGCGCCCCTTGGCGCCACAGTGGGATTTACCGCTTGTGCTGCGCGCTCTGAGCAATCCCCCTTTGAGCCACTGCCGCAAACTTCTCTCAGACTGCTGTCTCTGAAGACAGCCCTCCTTTTGGCACTGACCTCTGCTAAGAGGGTGAGCGATCTGTGCGCTCTCTCAGTCGCTCCATCCTGCCTCGCTATCAGAGCTGACGGGAGCTCCGCCACCTTGAGGCCGAACCCAGCGTTCATGCCCAAGGTTATAACTAGCTCCTTCAGGTCACGGATTATTTCCCTGGAAGGTTTTTTCCCTCCTCCTCATCGAAACGAGGCGGAGGAAGCATCTCATCGTCTCTGCCCGGTGCGCGCGTTGTCTCATTATGTAGAGCGCACGGCTGCCCTCAGAAAAACTCAACAGCTGTTTGTTCACTACAGAGAGCATTCACGAGGCAAGTCTCTGTCAAAACAACGGTTGGCTCATTGGCTGTGTGAGGCCATCACTCAGGCGTACGTTACGGCTGGGGAGGACCCCCCACCCGGCATCCGTGCGCACTCGACAAGAGCCGTGTCCTCCTCCACAGCGCTGTCAGCGGGATGGCTGTGGAGGATATTTGCACAGCGGCATCATGGGCTTCACCCTGCCCCTTTATCCGCTTCTATTTACGCGATGCATCGGGGTTTTCTCTAACGCACTCGGTACTGAATGTTCTGGAGACCAGGCGCGACGCTGCTGGCTCGGGACACGTTACGCACACATAGGCTTCCCTGTAAAGGAGCCGGTAAGGCTCCTCTTGCCACGGGCTGTTGGGGCTCCTTCTGTCTTAGTTGCGCTCCAGTTGGACTGCCACAATGCGTAACAACCGTCCTTACTGTTCCCTCAACATAAGCCGCAGTGTGCGTCTGTGTGTGCCTGTACTCTGGGCGTTCTCGTGCGCACACACACCCCCCGTTGCCGGGATGCGTGTGTGTTGTCCTATCCTCCCGCCTGCTCTGCTCGTTGTTGGGACTGGTTACAATGCGTAACTGTCGTTCCAATTTCCTCACAGCAGCAGGTGGGAGGCAGGGAGTGATGCGTTCAGCCATCCTGTTATCTGGTCTAATGCGGATGGCCGCGTATCTCAGTTTCCGTAGCGTAATGGATCAGACGCTCGCCTTCTATGCCGAAGGTACCTGGTTCGAGACCAGACGGAAACACTGACCTACATTTTGGTCTCTATCATGCATTGTGTGATTAGGGTACTGTGAGCTGGTGTGTTAATGCTTATGACCGCTGGGGGTCCAGTGGGCATTGACTACATCTGGCTTCGCCCTTATCCCAATAGCGACAGCTCTTAGAGGGCGAAGCCTATACGAAATAGAACGTTGGTTACGTATTGTAACCCCAGATTCTATGAGTATAGGCGTAGCCCTCTAAGCTGCGGGCCCGACTGGTCCCACCAGCGTCGGCTGAAGAAAAAAAGCTGACCTCTTGGGAGCAGATCTCTGGTCTCGCCGGTATTATATACCTAAATTGCGGACCTGAGAGAGGCCCGTGCACGGCACATGGGCGCGAAAGAAATCTTCAGGACTGCGCATGCGCGCGGGGATGAACCCAATAGCGACAGCTCTTAGAGGGCTACGCCTATACTCATAGAATCTGGGGTTACAATACGTAACCAACGTTTTTACTTGCCTTTTTTAAGGGTTTGCTAAATAGAGAAGAGGTAGTGACAGCTCACCCAAACTCACCCCAACA